TACGTTAAGGGACATTGTAATTAAATGAAATAAAATGTTTCCAATTCAATTCAAGGACAGTTGTTATCAAATTGTCCTTTTCTATGTATGTTGGCGTTTGTTTTTGTAGCCGTTCAGTGTATTTGTTGTACCGTTGTTTTCCTCTTATAGTTGATGTGTTTCCCTCGGTTTTGGTTTGTGACCCGGATTTGTTTTCGTTTAATCGATTTATGACTATTGAACAGCGGTATACTACTGTTGCCCTTATTAGGCAAATATATAAAGAGTCTTTTAGTGACTATGATTATACCGGAACCTAGTTTATTTACTCGAAATTGCATTCACACGTTCAAAATATAATGTATTTATTCGTTTTCTGATAAGGTCAATAAAATTCTGCTTCTAATAACTTTACAATTCATTGAATATTTTTTAATTCCTTATTTATATACATTTTCATATTATTTTTGTTTTCCGTTTACCATTTTCTACATTAATCTGGCCGTTGGTTTTTTCGGTTGAATTGTTTTACATTTGTCATTTCGTGGCCGTTTATAGCTACTAGTAACTATAAGGTATGGGTTTTGTGCATTGTTGAAGGCCTTACGCTGATCCATAGTTGTTAACTTCTATGTCATTTTGTCTCTGGCGGAGAGTTGTCTCATTGGCAATCATACCACATCTTCTTTTTTTTAATTTAAACTTATAAAAGTTTGTTGTCTACCTCAAATGAATCAAACTGTGGTTTGGTTTGGGTTCTCAGCTAGAAATATTAAAATATGTTCCCGTTTTTATTTCTAAGTTCTTAGTTCTATATTATTTTCTATCCTATTCTATATATATACACTGGACGTTAAGCAACCAACAATCAATCAATCTATATATATATCTACTTATTTAGTTTATCATAGATGAATCGTTCATCAGTTTGCTTAAAATTTCGTTTATTCTGGTTTTTAAATGATTTACTTTCCTTTTTATCTTCGGGGTCATTCGGCGTAAATTGCGTCATTAAACAATCGGTTTTAAGTTCTTCTTATTGTGAAAAAATAGCATAAGCATTGTGACGTACTGTAGAAAATTTACGGAAAAGTGCACGAATTCCAAAGTGGTCTATTTAGCCGGTACTTCCTATGTAAATAATTGTACAAATTCATTCATATACTGAATTCCAATAGAAATTCAGCACATCATATATCAAGCCCCATCTTTTGAATGCCAGTTCTAAATAGGGTTTTTTTTTTTTGCTACACTGTACGCGTTGACCTATTCAATTCCGAATATTTCAGTTAATTTGAAAGAAGAAAGCATCAGTTTTCCACCTAAAAGAGATTATATTGCTCAAAATGCAAAATAGAATTGTTGAAATGAATTACATTTTATGATGATCTTAACACATACTTGCATCCTACTGAAAAAAACTTGCATCGCCGATAAAACAACTGCAAACTCCCGCCACCTATTATACTAGTTGTAAGTATATAATACGTTTACATACATGCCAAGCACTTGCCCGCACTTGCAAAAGCAAACTCAACTAAAAAATACAAACTCGACACAAAACCTTTACTATGATTCATAGAAATATTTCGTATTCACGGTAAACATAAATTCATTGATATACTGAGTGCCAATAAAAAATCAACGTATCATATATCAAGCCCCATCTGCTATATATCCAATTTTGCTCATACACTTAAAAAAATTAAGTATAATTTAACAAGTAATGTATACAACTTCGGACTTAATGACAGACTATCCCATCGAACTAGAGATAAAGGATACTACAGATACAGTTAAGTCTGCCTCATATCTTGACTTACATCTAGAAATTGACAATGAAGGTCGGTTGAAAACAAAACTTTACGACAAAAGAGATGATTTCAGCTTCCCAATTGTGAACTTTCCATTTCTATGTGGCATAATTTGCATACGGAGTATATATCTCCCAATTGATACGATATTCACGGGCTTGTATTTCCTATCATGATTTTCTTGATAGAGGATTACTGCTCACAAGGAAGCTATTAAACCAAGAGTTCCAAATGGTGAAGTTGAAATCATCCCTTCGTAAATTTTACGGACGCCATCACGAGTTGGTTGACTGTTATGGAATAACCGTTTCACAGATGATATCGGATATGTTCCTTATGTCGTAACTACAATACCCTTCCCTTTTCACGAATGTGACCTACCGAATTAGACTATTTACCGGATTTGTAATAACATAAGCAACACGACGGGTGCCACATATGGAGCAGGATCTGCTTACCCTTCCGGAGCACCTGAGATCATCCCCCCCCCCCCTAGTTTTTGGTGGGGTTCATGTTGCTTAGTCTTTAGTTGTCTATGTTGTGTCATCTGTACTATTATTTGTCTATTTGTCTTATTATTTTTGGCCATGGCGTTGTCAGTTTGTTTTCGATCTATGAGTTTGACTGTCCCTCTGGTATCTTTCGTTCCTCTTTGGTTAACCGTGTAGTCATCTTCAAAACAAATATAATAATGGTCTCCTGTGCCATAAATATATATATATTTTTTAATATTCATAAGAAAAGGGACAAAAGACACCAAGGGGACATTCATAACTCATAAGTAGAAGAGAAACTCATTTATTTACTGATATCGCCAATAAAAAAACGAAAAAGCTACGAAAAAAAATTTTGAGAAAAAAAAATACATAGAAAAGTAAAGACTGACGTATGATTCAAATTTTTCGCACTGGTTCGATACCGCTACTGGTGGACTATTAGTCCAAGAGAGTCTGATCAGCTCAGTAGTCAGTGGTTCGGTACTTTTACATGTGCTGGCTTACTCTATAAAATACCTTAGGCTTTCTTAAATTCCCTTTGTTTAATTGATAATTTATTGAGACGGTAGGATTCCAAATCCCTCATTCAAAGTTGTCTTTGATGAATTTTGCTATTCGTTTTATGCCCGACCTTTTTGTTCATATAGCTCCTCGCGTGATCAGGTATTAATAAGTGTTTAGCCTTCAAAAAGCACAGAATAAGTTAATATATATAGATACATATACTATTAAGAGCTAATTTTTGAATCTTTTGTCTTCGACATGTAAGGTAGCCTCAAAGTGCCAGTTTGATATTCAAAATATATTGCAAAAGACTACCGGAGACCGCTTAAATGATTGTGAGACCTTCCCGATCTTTCATTGTATATATGATTTGGGCCACAGTTAGGCTAGGCATTGATTTAAATACTAATGAAAGGATATCTGTGAAAATTGGGTTTGAACGTGAATTATGTTTTTAAATTGATAAAGTGTTATTTTGATTATGTAGCAGTGGATCAATACCGCTGTCATTACCAGGTCAGTAATCAGTACTTCAGAACTGCCATGATATACAACATTCCATTCTTAAATTCTCTGTTGATAGATTAGAAACTTTTAAGAAACTAACTTAATAGTCCCTAAATTTGTTTTACATAAAGTGAATTTGGTTATTTCTTTTAGACCCCTATTGGTCACATAGACCTCCTAACAACGATGTAGTTCCAATTAAATGAAATATATTGACATAAGTGGAGATCACGGACTCTGATTGGGAAATTATCAAAATATTTCTCCTCTTAAACTGAATTGTTTTGAGGCTTAACATGCCTACGGGTAGTGATGATTGTAAGATTCATTTTAAACATTTAATTTGATCAAGTAACACTTTTGTAAATCACATTACTCCTCTAAAATAACTTCAATACATTTTTTGCATCCTACGTTACTAGATAATGTATATAAGGTCCTCTGCAAGTGATTCTATTTAAGTTTTTGTAGGATGAAAAGCATAGACGCCATATGCAATCTTTGATTTTAATGGCCAATTTTCAGAAATCTTCTTTTGTGAGACGACGGGGAAATGTTAAACTTTAAATATGATGAAAACAGTATATTTGAAAGAAGTAAATTCCCTTTGAAAATTAAACGGGTAAATGGTCTAGGTGGGCAATTCAAATTCCTAGCAGCCTCCAATTATGTTGGTCTTTCACGTTGTCAAAATGCAGACGTTTTATGCTCAGTTATTTCAAGAAAACATTTGTACTACTATTGTAATAAATCAGATGTTTCTTTACCAAAAGTTGAAAACATTACTATAAATCTACTTTCGTAATTTTTTATAATAAGTTTTGTAAAAATGTTAGCGGTCTGTAAATCCTGTTTATTCCTTTTTTGCCATGGGGATAGTCGTCTTTAGTGTGGGTCGGATTTATTAATGTCTTGTTTAGTAGATTCTTTGTAATTAGATTTATTATGCACAGTATATGTATTGATATATGTCTTTCCTAGTCGTTCGCTGCTACGTACTACAATTGTCTGACAAGAATTAGATCATGAGAAGGAAATGACAAAAGCAAAATGAAGATAATGAAACTCTTTGATTTTCCACGTTCTGAAATTATTTATATACTCTCTGTCTGGATTTTTAATATTAGACATGAAAGGGCTTGTGTTTGAAAATCATAATTTATTGAAAAAACAGGAAGTCTTGTTGGTAGAAAATTTTAAGTCTTATTTCCGTGCAACATATAATAAGGGTTTTTTTTCAAACAAACTAGACACGTTGGGATAAATGTTTTATAGACTAGATTTTTAACCGGGTTTTCCATCAAAAATCCTGTTATTGATTTAGGGATGCACAACAGGTTGGACTTGCGTTCAGGCGGCAGCAATATGATGTATAATTTAGATTATTTCAATAGACACATCATTTCCAATTTTACTGTTTCATGTATAGTTTCATGTATATATAAATCTTTTTTATTGCTGGTATTTAACATCCATTTCACAAAAAATATATATAAAGACGATGAACAGTAATTGATTAAATAAGATTCACAAGAAAGAATATGAGTTAGGAATAGGATATACAAATGTTGAACGAATTTTGACAACCACATGTAGTACATTTTGTAGAACAACTAGCAATAAAGTTAACTATATTTTTAACTACGAAATTTGATGTTATAACACTAATAATAATAAGTGTACATAACAGCTGAGCTTATAGAACTAAGCTTTGTACTTTTTATTTTCCTGGCAAAATAAGTTTCACAGTAAAACAGGTATTTAACATATAACAATCTCTTATTGTCTAGACGGTTGAAAGTAATGAAGTTGAAATAGAAGTAAAATCATTTCTCATTTCTTGTTTGTCTCAATAATGAAATTGTATGTGACAATTCATGTCATGTATGTCTTAATAATGAAATTTTATGACAGAATACACAACCAAATACAGTTTTTACATCGCAACTGAGTATACAAGAAAAAAGATGTCTTTCTTTTTATTTTTATGATCATTTTATTAGTTTTACAGTAACACATGTATTTAAACAAACCACAATCATTATGGTACATGTTCTTCTCTCGTCTAAACCGTCTGAAATAAATGGAAATGAACTACTGGAAAATGTAGCAGTAAAATCAACGTTTTTTTCTTTAATTTTATGTACGAAACTTCATGTAATTATACTAAAACTATTAGTTTGTACACCACAGCTTAGCATATAAGAAAACAATCTTCCTCTAGTTTGACTCACACAGCCATTGTATTAGTTTAACATTTAAACATCTAGTTAACCAACAACAACATTACTAACCTTTGTGTAAACGCATTAAAAATGGTTTATGACAACCCAAGTAGTTAAAAAAAACAGAACATCTTAAAACATATACATACAGACTCTTTTTTTTTACCAATGCTTTTGCAGTTGGTATATTCATCGTTAAACAAATGTTTAAACCAGAGTTACAGATATTTCCGTTTCCATTTGACTGGCACTACTATCTGAGCCATGGTGAAGTTCATACATTCTCCTGTCCGGTTTAGAAAATATCAGTGATTTGAGCATATTATTTACCTGTTTTCTAAAAGTTTGCGAAAACAATATACAAATGTAAAATACAATAACAGTATTTGTCCACGCCATGTAATGTCCGATAACTCTAGCTTTTGCCAACTGCAATCTAAAGTGAGGTTTTTGCAGCCATGATGGCGGATAAGTCTGATCAACGATATTAATTACAGTAGGTGGCAGCACTAACAAAAAGTAAAACATAGATAAAACTAGAGTGGCATGTGTAAGTACCATTGGTGTCATTTCGTTGTCAGTTTCTTCGGGTACGTTTCTCATACATAGCCCCGTAAATATCAAAATATCAAACGTTATGAGTAAAGCTAATGGAATGAATGAATAACAACTTGCAGACATCCAAGGCCAGATAACAACATGTAAATCATCATCGTTATGAAAGAAGAAGCAACCATCCATCAGTTCATATGTCCACATTGCATGTACACTAACAACAATAAGCCCAACGAAGATTGAAATAGTAGCAAATTTTGCCATGAACAAAGTACATATCTTCGATGATTTTTTCCTATGCCAGATCGTTATATAGCGATCGATTGTCATAGAAACAACAAACCAAATGCTAGAATATGTTACCACTCGACTAAAAAATTGCCATAATCTACATATCCAATCTGCCTGACTGTCTATAGATCTTTTTTCTGCTACTAGCGCTACCCACTCTGATCCCAAAAATAAATATAGCGTCAACAAACTTGTTAAAGCGTATGCTGAAATATAGAACCCAATTGGATAATGCCGAAATGGTCTTGTTCTCATAACCAATAAAGTACATACATTTCCAAATGTACCAAGAATAATCAAAACCGGTGGTACATACGTGTTCACAATATGTTCAAATTGTCTTTCAACAGAATCGTCTTCTTGTATATTTAGATAGTTCCTTGAATGATTCACGTACGAAGAACTCAAATTGTTCACGGTCACGTTGTTTTCCATTGCTAAAGACGTTAATATTTGCATCTTTTGACAATAAAACACACTGTTGTATGCAAAGGCGTAAATGCAGTAACAACGTCTGCGTCTACAATTAGTACAAGTCTCCCTGGTATGCAATAAATCTTAAACATATATTGTTCAATCCATATATTGCGGCATTGGTTTCCTCATTAGGCTTTTTAAAGGAAACGAATTTGAAATGGTTAAGCAATGAATAACATAATGTAGAAAATTCCACTGCATACTGTTTCCTTCATTAACTTGTCAATTGTTCTTTTGTATTACCAATCTACAAAATAAAACAACAAGTATAGTTCAATCATTCCAATGTTTATGACAGAAGACATAAAACTAATATAAATGAAACCAAGCTCAATCATGACAAGTGAAACATTTTGATGAGGTCGAGTTGTTTGTTAAGGATATTCGCTGATGTTGGTTTTTTTTTCTTTTTGTTAGATATTCGGAATTCCTGGGTTTCATCCATGTAATGCAATTAAAAAAAATTCCCAGCTAACCCCGACTTTCCTTTTAATAATTTTATTACAAATAGCTTGAAAAGTAATTTTTGAAAAATTTATAAAATCCCTGTTTTTTGTCATAGTTTTTGAAAGAACAGAGTTGTTAATTGTATGAAAAAGCTAGAGAGCTCATTTCCAGTCAAATTTTCTAGGGTTTATTTCTCAAAAAAAATACACGGACCTTACTTTTTTTCCTGTGTTTTTTAGTTTAGTTATTTATATACTATAACAGTTTAAAAGCTTGTTAATTTTACACGGAGCAACCAACACCCTTAACAACATTTTTACTATGTATAAAAGGAAAGCTCCATTTCAAAAATACAACTTTCTCTCGCCATTATTATGACGTACCAAAAAAAATTCAATTTGGTCATACATCTTTCAAAATCAAAAGAAAACGATATGTTTTCTGTGCTTTTTCTAGTTTCATAGCGATTGAATTGAAACCATATGTTCAGATTATGTATGTCAATTAATTTTCTTCTGCAGTTTAATTTAGATTCTAAAACAAGAAATAAAGCTTCAAGCCAACATGTGTACGATGTATCGTGGGATATTATTATGCGTTCGATTTTAATAATTAACCTGCCCTAAACCAGTATGTCGTTGAACTTATCCACACTTCTTTAAATACATATTGTATTCTGAGTTCCAGCACTGGTTGTAAATGTGTTTTATTCTGTTAAAAGTCTAAAATATAACGTTGACTAAAGATTGACGTTATATTACATAGTGTATATTAAATTAAAAAAAAATATATATTATTTAAAAGTCAGTAAATGTCATTCTCGTGTATAGTGAATAATGTCTTCATTGTTAAATAAATATAGGAACATTGCTCTAAAAAAAACTAGAAAGACTTCCTTATTACAGTCACGAATGTATTTATAGAATATAATTTTTTTCCTAAAATAGTACTCGGGAAAATAAAAAAATAAAAAAGATAATCTACTATGTGATTATTTTAAATAACAACGGCTGATATTTTCAAAGTTTACTAAAATTAATAATCAACAGACATAGCTAAACAATGGTTATATAGATCCTGTGTAACCTTCGATTAATTTTACTACAGGAATTTGACATTATTGCATTTACAGTTGTCACCCAAGAGCTCCACCAAGTTAAGGTATCCGTAATTGTCAGCAATTGTCATGAATACCGAAGCGGTGCCCAAAACAAATATCTTAAAAGATAAGATTCAAATACAGGTTTAATATTCCAAAGGATAAGGTACGATAAGGGGCATTTTTGGACCTCTCTCCAAATAAGTTTATATTAATATCATACATTAATTGCTTGATCAGTAAAAGTTTTAACAATTCCAAATGATATTGTTTGTCTAAGAAGAACTTGAAGTCACAAATGAAAAGTCCCTTTGATTTCGTTTACTATATGCTTAAAAACAACTTCGCAACAGAAATGTTGCCTAGCAACGGTTAAAAAATGGGTGTTTCCACCTCTGAAGTATGAATTTAACAGTTGTTTTTTCTTTGATTTTTCTTTCCCATATGGTGTTTCATTCCAATATGCTATCATATACATCTTTATTCTTAACAAATTCCGTATTGAGCATAGCAACACAAATGTTGCTTCGCAAAAATCGTTCCATATTTAATCAATTAGTCATTTTATTGAACAAATTAAATTGAATTCAATGCAGATTGTCTGTTTAGGAACAACTTTTAAGTTGGTTCAATTGTATAGTTCACTTAATGCTTATCACCAACTAAGCTACATAATAAGTGCATATCAACCGTTCAATAATGGGTTCTCTGTTATCTGAAGTATGAATTTAGTAATGTTGGTAGAATATACTTTCTCATATGGTGTTACACTACACGATACTATAAACATCTAGATCATCATTAATCTTTTTTTGACGAATTCCATATCGAGCATATAAACCCACATGTTGCTTAGCAGCAGCAACCCTTTTTTTTGTAAATTAAAAACAACTACAAAACCTATCTTTCAATGTGAAGGTCTTTTCATGAAAACAAGAATATAAATGATTTACTAATTAGGGGTGGGTATGAACAGTTTTTAAAGATATTTCATAGCTAATGAAATGAAATAGACGTGGCTTGTACCACAAAAAGACCTCGTCTGGAATAAAATGTCCAGGCAAATAAGAATTAATATGATGTAGGAGTGGGGACGTGAATGTGTCCCCTGGGTACAAAACCTATGGTGAATTAGAAATGATTTATCAAGGCAATGGGTGGGGATATAAATCATTTTGGAGATAATTAACGATTCATTATTTAACGGGGATTTGATTTCAAGGAATAAATCTTTCGGTTCAGTAAAAAGAAATTGACATAGCCTGTGGGAATATATATGGTTTTAAGGTTGGACAAATAAAACTGAATTATTTTACTTTGAAATGCAAAGGTCAACAACAAATGATCAATTATTTTGACCTTGAGATCAACGGTAAAGGTCATAATGATATTAGACTGATATGACATCTCTTGGTTATACACTTTATGCCAAATATCATAAGTCAATGTCAACAAATCAAATAAGTGTCGGCTCGGACAAGTGTGTATGAGAATAAAATTCAGAAATTGAAGAAAAAGAATACTTAAGTTAAACATAATGTATCCATTCTTTTCTTTTTCGAAGCCAGAGAAACATGATAAGTGAGAACTGAGTACTGAATAAACTGCTGTTTCTTTCACGATGAAATGAAATATGGAACGATTTTTTTTATCCGTAATTATGATGTGGATACTAGCGATGTCGAAAAATGGTTTCTCTTTCCTGTCGTTGTCGAATGATTCGTGAAATATAATGTAAGTTCATAGTATGTGTTTATTTTGCGTTTTAAATTTTTTCGTTATGTTTTTGTGTTTTTATAATTTGTTTATAAAAAAGAACAATTATACTTGGACATGCAAATTACTAATAAGAGTATATGACTGCAAAAGTCAATTCTTTGGGTGGATGCGTATGTTTAAGCGCGGATTTATATAATAAGAAGGATTCTTACTATGTGCACCTTTCATTTAAGTCATCGTACAATTAAATAAATAGAATAAATGAAGTAAAACTATACAAAATCTTGTATAAACTGACTGCACATATAATGTTTTATCAAATCGCACAATTTTAAAAGTAGTAATATAATGCCATTTGGTAATTTCAACTTTTTAATATCAATAAATACATCACATGTATGTCTCATAAGAAGCCATACTTTTGATTGGATGACAACAATTGAGAGGCATTCCAACAAATGCAACATTGATGGCAGCACGTACTTCCCATGACAATGTCACAAGAATGCATGGGAAAAACTAACGAAAAATTCGATAAAACTCATAATTTCATAGTTGTAGCATTTAAATGTAATAACACTTTGAATGCCTCTTTTGTAACCTCCGCGCTTCATTCAAAATATGCTTTGGTCATCGCTTTAACACTCCAATTACAAAAAGTAGTATTTGATTCTTAATAAGTTCACTAATTAAATGCGCATAAACATACAGCTAAGAATAAAAGTGATGTATAGACATTTTTTCCAAGTTTGAAATATAAAACATTTATAATCACATTTGTCTGTTGTAGTTAATTTGCGAATTTTAACTATTCATCTTTTCAAACACATGCACATTGTGGCGCACAGGTTTGCTTGGTTAGTCATTTTCCCACCAAGCGTAAAACTCATGAGACAAACACCGTTTCGGTTGCCTCGTGGAAGCGTCTTCTTATGTGACGTTTACATTTTCTGACGTCAGACACGCGAAGCAATGAATGTGGTTTTTAATTTGATAGATGCTTTTGTGCTTTTTTGTAAATGATTGTTTGTTTTGATATTGTAACACAGTGATGACTGCTGTACCCATATTTTGACTATTTTATTTATTATGTCTGTTTTGTTCACGCATCGTTGTAAATATAACGGAATTTGATGAGACTGTCGTACAAGTGAGAGGTTTAGCGCTATAAAACCAGGTTCAATCCACCATTTTCTACATTTGAAAATGCCTGTACCAAGTCAGGAATATGACAGTTGTTGTCCATTCGTTTGATGTGTTTTGTCATTTGATTTTGCCATGTGATTAGGGACCTTCCGATTGAATTTTCCTCGGAGTTCAGTATTTTTGTGATTTTACTTTTCACCTCGCGAGCCGCATATGATGGGTTCTGACCTAGGCCGAAGACTTTAACATTGGTATTTGCTGATTTTCCGTTTATCACGTGGCATTAAGGGGTAAGAGCAAAGATTAGTTGGGTCGGAGTCAAAATAACTGCCTGCTGACTGTAACCTTATGAGCTAGCATTTATGGTTAGGGTTAGGGTTTGAATTGTTTGAAAAACTACGGATTTTCTATTCATGAATAGATAACCTTAACCGGTTTTTGGCAAAACGTTTCGAAATTTTAAGCCTTTTATTGTCTTTTGACTTTTTTTATTCGACCGTCACTGATGCGACTTTTGTACACGAAACACTTTTGGCGTACAAAATTACAAACATGATATTTTTGACTATGATGCGTTTTTTCCTTTGATATTCAATATTCGTTTTTCGTTTTCTTTGACGTGTGAATATCTGATTAGAAAATTAAACGAATCCTATATTTATATATGTTTAAAGTCATTATAGTATTGTAATTAAAGAAGATATATGATTGGTTGAATGTTGTTTTCTGATCGTCCAGTGGCAAATACTTCATGCATATTTATGATGGAAAGTAATGTAGAGAATAATTTTCAAACAAGAAATGCGAAGTGGCACGCTTTGTTGTTTAAAAATAGC